GGGGGGGTCCTTTCTATTCATGCCGCCGAGGTTGTCGGAGATTCTATCGGACCCACCAAAAGGATCGCGTTGTGGCTGTTTTCGACATTGTTGGAAGCGCGGGAGGGCACACATGACGAACTCGGCGTGGAGCGAATGCTGCTATATACACGCTGCTTATTCTCCGCGGCGGAAACATTTCGGACCAAGTCCATGCGAGTGTACAAAGGTGTCCCGGGGACCGACACGGCAATGGGGTGTGGTCGGGCCGGTCTGCCAAGGCTGCTGACCGACAGACTCCACTCCGAGCAGGCACCGTAGTCGAGCATTGTCAGTCGCCAGTCGCCCAACAGGCTGTCAACGAGGGTGTCATCGCTGGTTGGATGCCCCCCGCCATGTTAGGATGCCCCCCCGGCCTCCGGCCTCGGCCCGGCTCGGCCCATGGGAGCAGGGTCTCTCTGGCTCTCTCTCTCTTTTTCACACACACTCGCCCTCCCTCCCCCCTCGCTCCTCCCTCCCTCTCCTAGCAGCAGTCACCCACGTGAGTGTGACAATCTCAATATAAAATTATACTCCCGTCCAGACCGAGTAGATGCAAGGGCAGCTTGTCATCTGAAGTTATGCTGTGGGTTTGGTGGAGATCAAAAATAAGTAGGATTCTGGGCCATATCCCGTATAATGTGATCACGTAGGTGGAAAAGTATGGCTGTCATTCAGTCTGGCCCCGTTGAGGTATGGCGACTACAGCTCACAACAAGATCCACGTCAGCCTTGTTGATCTGTGTGAGTGGGACGGGGAAGGAAGGGGGGGGGGCACATCCGAGGGGTGTTTTCACCAAGTTGACACAGCAAAATGGAGTGGATGAGGGATTCCGATACTTCCTAAGCTGCAAATTACAAAGCGATAACTTTGGGGGTGAAGCAGAAAGGGCAACTGCTTTAAAAAAAATAATAGTGTGAAACAACCTTGCTAAACGAGTAAAACTTTGATTTCAGACTTCTCAAGCCCACACAGCGCGCTGGTTCCAAGTTGCGTAGAGGGGAAGAATTGTCCACATACCCACACATACCAAAGCCGGTTAGCACAAAAAAAAACAAAGAAGAGAGAAGTTTGAGAGAGAAGGAAATGAGGAGGAGAGGGGGTGGGAATAGCGTGTTGGTTGGGGTGGGACTGGGTCGCTGCGGGAGCGCCCGCGCAGCGAGGGATAGGCAACCAGCACGCCGCCTGTGTGAGGGCAGCCGGCATGTTGCCTATCCGAGCATCCGCAGGCGCTCTCCTCTCTCTCGTCCTATTTTCTGCATTTCTCGGCGCGCTGCTTGACACCTCCAGTGTTCAGTCGGGGTTCAATTAGCTAGTTGTGCACTGCTCGTCTCAATCACAATCCCGGCTGTGCAGCTGATCGCTACTTGGATAGGGTCTTTTACTCAAAACATCTACAGGGTTTAGATGTGTCAGTGTCACAGAGAAACGTCAAGTCTACACTTGTAATAAAGTGTGCAACAGGCGAGCACATTCAAATGTCCAACAATTTGTTGGACTCTTATAAGTGTTTAACATCAGTTGTAAACTTTGTTGTGTTAATCATTGTAACAGGGAAAGCCAAATTTCAACGCCTCGTAGGTTCAGTTTTGTTGAAGTTAAAAGTCACTTTTTCAATGGTCTCTGTATTTTGGGGAATTGGAATGTTTTAAATTTTATTTTGGGTCTGACTTAATCCGTACGTAGCGTCGAAAGATTTCCCCGTTTTTACAGTGATTTCCAGTCTAACACCTAAACCTAAGAGCAGAGATGAGAAACGGTCCCTACCCGGTCCCGGGTTCCGGCGCTGTCTGTTCGCCCGAGCAGGCGGGCAGACGCTTCCAGTCGGTCGTCGCGTCGTACTTCGTTCCGGGACCGGACTGGGACCCGGCCCGCACTCGGACCGGGTCTAGGGCTAGGCCGTTTCGGCCGGCCAACCAAACCCGGTTCCAATCCGGTCCCGGGCCGGTCGGGGCCCGGGCCCGGGTGGAAGGACCGGGACCGGGACCGGCCCGCATCAGCGCAGGGCCCGGAAAGTGGGACCGGGTCGGGACCGTTTCTCATCTCTGCCTAAGAGTATGCATACTACCATGTGCACATGCCAGTTGCACACTTTTGTTTTCGTTGAAGTATTGTGGTAGGTTCCCCATAAATTCTGGACCCTACCTTAACAATTTCTCGTAGGACTTTCTTTTGGCGCCATACGCCTCAGCGATAACTTGTGAGGCCTTCACTTTTTTCTCCATGTATGCAATGCATGCATGATGGGTTGCAATATCAAGTATGATACATCAATGGATACATTTTTCGTCTTAGATTTCATTTCTGGAAACAGATTTCCAAAAAACATCAGATACAGAGCCTCCATTCGGGAATCCCGTACATTCTACGACCCGCGTTTCTACGACCTGGTGATTCCGGACCGACCCAAAACCATTTGTCCGACCTACATTTTCTACGACCTCTGTTTGTACGACCTACATTTTCTACGACCTACTTTTTGTACGACCTACATTTTCTACGACCCGTGTAGAAAAGAAGGTATTCCAAAGAAATTTCCAAATGAAGGCAGCGCGATTTAATACACACCAGACCAGCACAACGTAGCGCGTTCCCCGTGACGAGGGACGCAATGTCCTCCGTGACGTGGACGCACCGTAAAGGAAAGGCGTTACTGCAACGTGTCAGGGGTGTACTTGGATTGTCGGACATATTTTTCTCCGACCTGGTGATTTTTCTGAAATCCATAAAAGTGCTCTCCGACCTAGGTTTCGTCTGACCTAATTTTCTCGGACCTATTTTCCTCTAACCTCGTCAATCTGCTGAAATTTGGGAAGGGTGTGCTTCAAAGAGAAAGGCTTCAGAGGACATAAAGGGGTACTTTAAGTGCAGTGAGGAAAAGACCGCGACTATGACGGAGTGCAGCCCCTACGTCCAAGAACAGTCAACAGCCATGACTTAGTGCCCAATTAGTTCAATCTGAATATCTCACCGGCAGATTTAATGCGACTGTAGTACCCTAATCTCGTGTTGAAGAGCTCCATGAAGCTGGCCCCACCCTGGCTCGCACAATTTCAACCGATAGTGCCATGATTTAGTGTACAATTAGTGCAACCCGAATATTCCATCGGCAGATTTAGTGCGACTACCCGTAGTACCCTAATCTCGTGTTAAAGAGCTCCAGGGTGGTACAATCTGTGTTTATTTTCACTTTATTCGGTAAGGTGAAAAAGTTAAGAAAACATCTTTGACGTAGGTAAAAAGGGCCTTTACAGCCTTGTGTGCCAGTCACATATGCTTAAAACCAGCATGATAAACGAAAAGATTACGTAAGTTGAGCCAGATTATTATTTAAAATGAGCATATCAGTTTACAGTTTACCCGCAGCTAACTTTTGAAGAGTAATTATTACATGTTAGATCGCCCGGAAAGTGCGTCCGTCATATTCACCTCACAAATCTGCCAGGTTCATACCATGGTAGCTTAAGGTGTAATCTACATTACACCTTATGATAGCTCTCAGAGCGCCGGCCAGGTAGGCAGCACATTACCCACGGTGCATGGGTGTACTGCGGGATGGCCTACCCGGCGACTCGCAGGCGCCGAGCTCCTTTAAGAAGTCGAATGAGTCTGAGAGAGAAAAAAAACGAATGTACTTTCCGGACGATTCTCAATTATTTCCTCCGTTGGCAATGACCTCGTGTGGACAGGCCACACCGTCCATTGAATGAATAAGGTACAAAAAGCATCATCAGCTTACTCGGATGACGCATCACTGTAACGGTAAGAGTCATCTTTCGTTGAAATTCAGTCATGTGGTTTTTACATCGCTCAGATGGAGCGACATGATTTCTGCGCATCGCTCAATAAGAGTGAGACATGACTTCAATATAAACCGTAGAACTATAAATCTCGCCGAACTAGAGCAGTCTCTGCCAAGATCACTCTTATAGAGACGTACGAACGCCTATCGAATGACTCTTAATAGGGGGCGATGTCATTCAATACCGCTCTCCCAGGAGTCATGTATTTGGGTGTGCAATTTCAGCGCTCTCCAAGGTGCGAGATACCTCACTCCTCCGTGTTCAGTGAACGCACGCATTGTAGCTCTCATACACAATGCGTGTGGCTACCACATCAAAAGGGGCGTGGAGTGTGCCCAAACTAAACGACGCTGCTTTTGAAATAGTCAAAGAGCGCAGTCCGAGGGACCTGCCGTGTGAAAAAGTGAACCGCAGCCACTGGCGTGATTTGCGTAGAACTACCCGGGAGGGATGCGCGCAGAGCCCCACAGAGCCCCGCCTCTCTGTCGGGCCTAAGGCCTAGCCAGCAGCCTAGGCTGAATGAAGCTACCTGTGGGCAGACCCGGGCGGGGCTCTGCTGGAAGGGGGGG